TGGAGGAGTTACAAGTTAGAAAAAATCACTGAAGGCAACCACCACCACTTCTAATATTAATGAAGGGTCACCATGTGCTGATGTGGGAAACGTTGGCTGTTTAGAGATGGGTGTGTTGCTTGAGGGGGACAACTCTGGCTGCCCACCAGCTGTTCTTCAAATACAGAGCTGGGGGTGGTTCTGGATTAACAATGCTCCCCACCCCGATACATACCACCATTTAAACCATCACTACTACGTCCAGTAGACTGTTGACATGTTTCTCAAAGTCCTCCCCAACAGCTGCCTGGCCCCTTGCCCCCGTGGCAACCCAGCGCTCCCATCTCTTGCCAGGACAATGAACCACCCTCCACCTTAACTTGCTTCCCTGTCTACAGCCTCTTTCCTTCCAATGCACCCTGTACTCTGCTGCCCAGGGGATCCTTCAGACCCCATCACAGAAACCTACTGCTTAAGAGAACCTCCCCTTGTCCCTCCCTTTTCTTGTAGGTGAAGTTAAACTTCTTTGCATGGCTTTCAACCACCACCACTATCTGCCCCACCTGACTCTCAAGTCTTATCTCCCTCATGCCCCATCACAAACTCTAAATTGCAACCACACCAAACAATGGATTCATAGTCCTAAAACTTGCTCTGCTGTTTTATGCCTTTGTCTAAGGAGAGCCTCTACTTGGGGCTTTCTCCTCCCTTTCTATGCCAGGGAACTGTCTCTACAACTTCCAAGATCCAGATCAAACAAGCCTCGCATGTGAAACCATCCCTGAGTTCTGCAGACAGAGCAGTTCACCCCAGCTCCCCTGAACACCATACACTCCTTTGTTTCTGCTCTGATCACCCAGTCTTGTTGTGTGTTTACATGCCCGTGAGCTCCTTGAGGGCAGAGGCTGTGTCTGATTCATATCTGCATCCCTCCTGCCCAACCCCTGTGCTCAATAAATGTTTGATGAACGACTGAAGGAAAGAATGTTCATCATCGGAAAATTGCTCATTAGAGCCCTGAACATCAGCATTGCCAAGAGATGTTTTCATCAAATGTGGTTTCTCGGCGTCTGTATCTAATGCCGTCCTGATTCAACCTGAAGTTTTGGAAATTCAGAAGAGCTTGCAAGGGTTAGAAGAAAGACATTTTATTTGTTAAACAGAAAATCAGGGTATGAGATGGAACTCTAAGATATGCAAATGCCTGTCTTTTTTGTAGGAGAACCTGAGAGAATCACACTAGATTATTTTGAAATTAATTCAGTCCAAGTGTCCATTTGTTAAACAGAAAATCAGGGTATGAGATGGAACTCTAAGATATGCAAATGCCTGTCTTCTTTGTAGGAGAACCTGAGAGAATCACACTAGATTATTTTGAAATTAATTCAGTCCAAGTGTCTGTGGAGCTTAAATGTGGTCCTCAGGAGAGTAAATAATGCATAATGTAAAACCAGAAAGGAGACTTGAAATGCACCCAGTAAAAGCTCCTTTCAGTCCAACTTCTGCACCAGAACATTCTAGTTGGTAGGATTCCCATATAATTTGCAAAGATTAAAATCTGTTGCAGCAAAATTAGCTCAAGCACACAACTGTAATCATTTGAAAGCCTCCCGGCTTCCCTGGGCCTTGTCAACAGCGACTCCTCACCAATGAGGGCTTGAGGATGGAGTCCACGTTTCTTGATAAATATTGATCATTTTGCATTAAGCAAAAATTTCACGTATGTTAATTATTAAATATCAAGTGAGTGTGGCTGCTCTGGGTCTGAAAACTAGAGATTTAAAAATATTATTTTTCAAACAGTTCCCTTTTGTAGAAGGATCAAAGATCTGGTTGCCAAAGCACTCTGGAGTTTTAATTAGACATATGCTGAAGTGGCCAAAAACTGCCCAGTCCCCAGAGCTCTCCATGCCAACATAGCTTGCTTTGCTGGTTGCTACGTCCACTCAAGCAGAACTTTTCTAGGCCATACCCTGAGATAAGGGAAGGAGGGAGCTGGGTTTGGGGGTCTTTGTCTCAAGGACACCCATTTAGGGGAGTGTTCCCTTCTCTGTCCCAGTCAGGAAGGACAGATGAGATGGCAGGAATGGGGAGGGCCAACCACACACCAACACATCCAGATCTGCAGAGTCACCCCAGCAGAGACCACAGGGCACATGTGGGAAGGACTCTGTGAGGCTGGAAAGGTGGCAGAAGGGCCTGCTGTGGGTGTGGGTGTGGGTGTCACAGCAGCCTGGGCTTCAGACTCAGCAGTCCATTTGAATTTCAGCTCCATCACTCTCAGGACATGCCTTCTTGGCAGGTGACTTCATCTCAATTTCTCATCTCGGAGGCAGGGTTGCTGTGCTTATTAACAGCAAACTCCATGAGGCTGGATGCAGAGGCCGATGATCACAGACAGAGACAGAGCCCTGTTTCCCTGCTGATTCAGGAGCCCTGGAAGAGCTCCACAATCCCTGCCGGTGGTGGTGAGGAGGGCGCTTTCAGAGGCCCAGACCTAAACACATCCTGGGTTCACACATCCTCCCCTCCACAGAACCAAGTCCACCAGGCACGACCTGACCCAGCTGCCCTTCCAGGCTTTTCCAGGCTCTGCTCCCCAGGTGCCCTCCAGGATCTGGCCACACCTGACTGCAGTGCCCTGAACATGGCCTGGGTTTTGCTGTCTCACAACTTTTGCATATGCTGTTTCCTTTCCCTGGAATGCCCGTCACTCCTTCTAAATGGAGCAAGCTCCTACACATTATAAACATTCCAAGTTAAATACCTTGTCTTCTGAAAAGCCACCAGCCCTGCCCCACTCTTGGTCCCACCACCACCAACTCCCTGCACTGTTGCATGCACAGTCCCTAGAAGGCAGCTGAACCCACGGACCCAGCCGGCTGGCTGAGGGCAGCAGAGAGTGGACAGTCCCAGGTATGAACCCCATTTCACCTCAGTGAAGTCAGCCCCACTCAACTCCACAGGGCCAGGTGTGGCCATTCATCTCCCTGCTGCTTCCAGCCTGCAAGGCTACTTTGCACCTAGCCCGAGCAGGAAACAACAGCCACTCCTCACCAGGCACATACCTAGCTGTCCCCACTGACCACATGCCTCCAGGACTCCCTCTGCCACTCAATTTGAAGGAGGAAAGGGGGCGAATTTAGCCCTGTCCTGTGCCTCTCTGGGCCAGAAACCTGGCAGAAAAGAGTGACAAAGGCTTCTGACAGGCACAGTGTGGGGTCAGCAACAAGCTGCTTCATTTGGGGCATCTGGTGTTTCAACAAGAGAGGAAGGTGGGAGGAAGGCAACCCTGAATTTCCAAACCTCCGCCCTGAGCCTTCCTCCTTCCAGGTGGCCATTTCCAACATACTCTGACAATCAGAAGTATAAAATAGAATTGGAAATATTTTACAAATAATAGCCAACATGAGTGCCTGAGGCATGTTATTTAACTTCTCTGTGACTCAGTTTCCCCATCTATAAAGTTGGAATAATGGTCCCTATCACATATAATTGTTGTGAGGATTAAATGGGCTTATAGATGCCAAGTGCTTAGAAAGTCTGGCCCATAGTAAGCACTGAATGAATGTTAGCTGTCATTCTTATTGCGACCTTTACAGCTTGCAACACATGGCAGAGGTCACATAGACAGTGAGGGGCAGGGGCAGGATTCCCGAGCCCCCTGCGCACCATCCCCTTTCATTGGACCCCATGTGTTTTGCAGGCCCAGCTGGGACACACAGGGCCGCCACATACCTCCTCCACCTGCCCTCGGAGGTGCTCCCATTTGGAGCCCTGTGCTCCTCCCCACATCTGCTTTTGTGGGCTTACAACTCCCTGGCTTGGGCTCTTGCTCCAACTCTTTAACTAGCCCCTAAATCTATGACCTTGTGTTGAACTTATAACGCAGTATTGACCTTCACCACCCATTTAGGACCTGGTAAGGGTCTCTCTTTGTCCTCTGGTTCCTCATACACCCGGGCCACAAGTCAAAGGTGCCCCATACCCATTGGATATGATGAAGCTGGGACTCCCCTTACCAGCCCCCCTGCTACAGGGGAGAGTAACTGGACACTGGGATTGGAATAAAAGTGTGGCCAACTTCTGAAGCCCTTTGCAGTGCCCAGCAGCCTCCTTCCTCACCAGGGCAGAAGCAGCTCGCTGGCAGGCTTGAGCCAGGGGCCTCTGCCACTCAGGGCTGTAACCACAGACATTCCTGCCTGACCTCCCTAGGAGTGTCTACCACATACTGTCCCCAGGCGGCCGTGGCGCTCTAGTGCTCCATGGGCTCCCACACTTCCTGTTACTAATACTTTCCCTGTACCAGCTAGAAAGCAGGCGTCCCTGTCCCTGAGCAGAAGCTGACCCCAGTTTAGCAGACTCCCTGGGGCCAGAGGTTCTCTTCAGAGGTGGACGTCTGGATCCTTGGACATCATTCTATAATCAGGAGACACTAGGGGCCAACGAAGAGCAGGAATTGATGGAGGCTTAATAAAGGAATGTTCCACGGTCACTAATGTGAGGACTGTGCTTCACAAAATGGCCCCAAGATGTGGCCCTCTGAGGAAACCTCATTCCCTAGGGTGACCCCTACTGGGAGGAAGAGAGAGGGAGTCACAGGCCAGAGACTGAGCACTGTCTATAGCTGGGAGACTGGGGGCTTCATCTCCAGAGAAGGGGCTTCTGTAGAAGAAATGCGAAGGTTTAAAGTCAGAGAGAGCAGTTTAAATCCCAGCTCTGCCCCTTGCTGTGTCATCTAGGCAAGAAAGTCCCCTCTCTGAGCCTCAGTTTCCTTATAAAACAACAATAACCTCCCTCAGAGCCAATATGAGTCGTTGATGAGCTCACCTGTATGAACCCCCTGGCACATGGCAGGTGCTCAGTAGATCCCTGAGAACTGGCCTGGAGTCACAGCCCACTACTGCCAAAGCAACCCTCTCCCGCCCCACCTCTGCTCCATCCTCCCCGGCTCCTGCGGCCACGCTCCCAGCTTTTCTGCACCGTGGCAGCTGCTGTTCCCAGGGCTCTGGGGCTGTTACCTGGGAGAACTGCCAGTGAAGCTTCATCCTCTTGGCTTTGGCATAACCGCACTCGATGAGCCGTGGCCGGCTGTTGACGTCCACCAGGCATCGGTTGTCGTCGTCATCAACCGTGGGGCTCAGGACGCCCACGTGGATCTGCTGACTGCTCGTGTAGTACACGTTCTGGGGTGGAGGGAGGGAGGGAGGGGAGTGAGGTGAAGTGCCAGCAGCCAGAGAGATGGAGGTAGCTGTGACTCTCACCCGGCAGCTGGCAAAGAGGTCACAGTGAGGGAGCACCTGGATTCTTACATCCAGCGGCCTTCAAATTATTTCCTATTCCAATGGACAAGAAGAAACCCTTGGCCATGATAATCCAGTATGGCATCTGGTCTACATGCTCAACCAAAGCAACATTTTCAAGAAATAGGACCCTTACCATTTATATACAATACACTCTGATATTTTCTATTCTATTCTTTCATTGGAAAACATTGGTCATAATCTTGTAAATTGATTTTACCACCCACAGTTTAAAAAATACCTCTGCAATCTATTATTTACAGACTTGCTGACTTCCTCCCTCCATAAATATTTTGTGCCAGATTCTTTGTCAGTAGAAACAGAGCAAAAAGCCTGGGCCACACGGAGCACAGAGTCTTGTGGGAGGGAAGAGGTGTAACAAATGATTCCCATCCAAACTAAGACTTTGCAGAGCATAGCTGGAAACCTTTTTCTTAAAGGGCCAGATGGCAAATAATCTTTGGCTTTGTGGGTGTGTTGAGGTTCAAGGACTCACAAGACTCAGCATATAGCTGAACTCACTAATATGATTTATTACAGCAAAAGGACACAAAACAAATCAGCAAAGGAAAGAGGCACAGAGGCAAAGCCTGGGGATGCCAGGCCCATGCTCCAGGGGTCCTGTCCCAGTGAAGTTACACAGGACGTGCCGAGTTCCCCAGAGTGTGATGACACGTGTGAAGTGCTGTCCACCAGGAAAGCAATTAGAGGATCACACCCATGGTTTTTATTGGGGGCAGGTCACATAGGCAGCCTCTGCCTGATACATACCCAAATCCCAGACTTCCAGAAGGAAAAGCAGGTGTTCAGCATAAAGCATACTGTTTGTACAATCAGTTTAGGCATAATAAGCCACTCTTACCAGTTCTGGTGAGAATCCTCCTGAAATCCAAGCTCCCAGATGCCAGCAAAGGGCCAACTTTGTAAACAGTTCTTTCAAAGGACAGTGGTCATGTCTGCCACATGAAGTTTTTTACACAGAGGACCCAGCGGTCTCTGAAAACTCAACTCTGTTGTTGTAGTGCAAACATACCCATAGACAACACATAAATGAATGACCGTGTTCCAAAAACATTTCATTTACAAAAATGGGCACTGCCCTATGGGCTGTAGCTTGGCCCTGGTCCAGAGGAAAGCCACATGACCCTTGGCCTTCAAAGTTTTCAGGAACTTGCCTCAGTCCTGAGCAGTGGTTCCCAACAAGGGCTCTGGGTGGGAAGTCAGAGGGCTCTGTCAGCTCTTCCTCACGTTACTGAAGGAATTAACACTCCGCTCCCCACTTCCGCCCAATGAGTAGGCCCCATGGGCAAACCGAGACACCACATTTCTTTGCTTTAGGTTAGAATATTCGCAGGTGGTTCTCTCTTGTTATCTTGACCTGTTCAAATATTCTTCTTGGCAGATATTTTTTATTAATTCAAAATGGTAAAATGAAGTATCCCTTGCTTTAGTAAAAGAGTGGTTGATAAGTACTTTTAAAACACGGGTGCAGAGCCATAAAATGGACCGAGGGCAGAAGAGGAGGGTAAGTAAGGGCGGTCCTTCGTGCACGTGTCTTCCTGACCCTCAGAAGTCTCTTTAGGCATCCAGGGAGGGGGTGGAGGGCAGGCAGGGTCACTCCTCAGACCCAAGAAGTGACTTAGGCCAGTGTGTTAGTCAAGTCCTCATCAGGAAACAGATGGTACATTGGAGGTGGGGGGTCTCCAAGGAGGGTATAACAGAGGTACAATTTTTAAAGATGTGGGTGTGTGTCAGCAAACTCCAAGGGACAGGAGAGTTCCCGCCTCATCAGGAAACAGATGGTACATTGGAGGTGGGGGGTCTCCAAGGAGGGTATAACGGAGGTACAATTTTTAAAGATGTGGGTGTGTGTCAGCAAACTCCAAGGGACAGGAGAGTTCCCTGGGGATAGTAATATGGAGCTGTTACCACCCCTGGGCCCAACAGGATGAGAAGAGAGAGCAGTTACCAGAGCCTATAAGAGAAAAGTGATGTAGAGAAGGCTGAGCTGAGAGGAGGTTTGGGGGATAATGGTGAGCGGTGCTGAATAAACACTCCGACTTCACCCTCCCCTCCCCACTCCGATCGTCTGCTGGGTCAGGTCCTTAGCAGGCCCCATCTGGAAACCAGAGATCATGAGTGCCCACTGAAGCCTCCCAGGAGGGAAGGAAGTGGGTGGGGACCGCGGGGACGGGGGGCAAGCGGAAGGCACTGTTACAACTAGGGCCTTCCCTATGAGGTCCCCTCACGAGATGTCAGGTTTGGTGAATCCATGGAAGTACCATAACAAGGTTACCAAGGTGACCATAAAGAGGTGAAGTCACTGTGGCCTCTGAGCAGAGGCCAAGCGTAGAATGCCCAGCCTCGATGTGGAAGTGCAACCAGAACACAGAGGCGAGGGAGCCTCTTCAAACCCACACTGGGTGAGAGGTGGGCTGCTGATCAGTGCAACCAGAACACAGAGGCGAGGGAGCCTCTTCAAACCCACACTGGGTGAGAGGTGGGCTGCTGATCAGTGCAACCAGAACACAGAGGCGAGGGAGCCTCTTCAAACCCACACTGGGTGAGAGGTGGGCTGCTGATCAGTGCAACCAGAACACAGAGGCGAGGGAGCCTCTTCAAACCCACACTGGGTGAGAGGTGGGCTGCTGATCAGTGCAACCAGAACACAGAGGCGAGGGAGCCTCTTCAAACCCACACTGGGTGAGAGGTGGGCTGCTGATCAGTGCAACCAGAACACAGAGGCGAGGGAGCCTCTTCAAACCCACACTGGGTGAGAGGTGGGCTGCTGACCCGCTGTGGCTTCCAGTTTTACTGGAATCGAGCGAGAATTTGACAACTGGCAGGACGTAGGAAATGAAACAGTCATGCAGTTAGGCATCACTTCTACATATCCACCCGACCAGCGGATAACCTCTAAGTTGGGTCTGGGGATATAGGAATGAGAAAGCCATGGTCCCAGTCCTGGAGGACCCAGAGTCAAGTCGGGGAAACCAATAACATATCAGGAAATAATGGCCCTAATCACGCTTATACAAGGACTTCCTTAGCTCACCTACCCTGACTCTTGCTGCTTTGAAACTAGAAATGAAAACTCACCACCCCCACACAGCCTTCCCTGAACATGCGAAAGTGTAGGACCTCAGTCTGCCTCCCAGGCCTCGCTAAGAGGGGCTCTCCTGCTCACAGCCCTGGTTCAGTGTACCATGGACTCCTCAGGACAGTGTAGCTCCGGGTCACCCTGCATGCCAGGACCCAGTCTCCCAGAAGCTCAGGAGTGTGGGCTGCAAGACCAAGACACCCAGGGCTTGGGCCACTTCCATCCCCTTCTTCTCTGTCATCAGGGCCTGGCTCTTGTCTCCAGGGCAGGTTCCACAAACACAGAAGCCACCCAGGTAATAGCTGAATCCGTTTTATCCACTTAGCAGCTCTGCAGTGTTTGGGGAGATGCTCTGAGAGACGCGTGTTCGCTTACTATCTGGTGCAGCTGTCAACAGAGCTGCTTATTGCTCCAGTCTGGGAAAATCATTCTAGGGACAGATAGTTGTTTGTTATTTAAAAAGCAGACAACAAAGTGCATCTTGACTGGTGTAACCACGAAGCCGCAGATCACAGAGAGAGATTCAGCAAAGAGGATTCTCTCAAGTCCCTGCTTGGACATCTCAGAAGCCCAGACAGTAGTGGATTGAATAAATAGATGGCCTGAACACAAAAAAGGGGAAACAGATTTGCAGGCCCAGCAGGCACAGCCATGTTTTCTAAGCAACGGGGGGCCTTGAAGGTTTAAGTGAGAAGCGACTTAACACTGTGGTCCTCAATGAGGGGCGATTTTGCCAATGGGATATTTGGAATTTCTGGAGATATTTTTGGTTTTCACAACTGGGGAAGGGGGTCTAGTGGGTAGAGGTCAGGTATTGTGCCCAACATCCTACAGTGCACAGGACAGCCCCCTACGGCAAAGAATTACCTGGCCCAAAATGTCAGTAGTGCTGCTGTTGAGAAAACCTGACTTAGACTGCTAATAACAAACGCTGAAATATGAGTATTTTTACTCTTACTATGTGCCAGACATAAAGTGATTTACATGCCTTATCTATTTACTTACTATTATTAATCCTAATAATAACTCTGTAAGGCAGGTGATATTATTATCCACCATCTTGTAGATGAGGAAACTGAGGCACCGAGAAATGAAGTAACGTGTGCATAGTCACCCATCTGGTGAACAGTAGCTGGGATTTACACTGAGGCAGTCTGACTGCACAGCCACACGTGGGACCACTCACCCCACTCACCACCTTCTAGGCTGGAGGGGGCAGGAAGAGCCAGGAGACTGGCTTCCACTGCAACCCCTTGGTGCCATGCTGGGGGCTTGGACTAAGGATGTACTGAGGGGCTGCAAGGGGTCCTCTACTAACAGGCCCACAAGAAAAGATAGTACAAATTGCTGAGACAGCAGCGTCCCTTCTGTGACTCTCGTCAGAGGCTGAGGAGAGCTGTTATCCTGTTTGTGGATGTTTTACAAACCCCCGGGGCACAGAAGTGACATCCCCGGCTACTCAGCTCCTCCTCAGCTGCAAATGATTGATTTGGCTCATTCTCTGCTCAGCCCCATACAGCTCAGCAGGGCTGCAAACCGGATCTCTGGCATTTCACTATGATGTTTGCAAGGGAAAGAGAAATATCACTGGCAAAGAAAAAGAACAAACACATTCATAAGTCAGGTCTCACACCAGTGGCACATTCCTCTCCTCCAGGCCAGGAGCAGGAGTATGACTATGAGCTAAGCTGGCCAGCCAGCCAGGGAGCCCACAGTGCCCAGGCTGCAGACTCCTGCCCTCAGAGCCACAGAACCAAGGCTGGGCAAGACCCCCAGGGCTGCA